ACCCCGACTTTCGAAAAACTAGGCTCGGCCCGCCGACCTCGCCTTCCGAGCCACCACCGCGTCGCTTTCGGGTTTTCCAACCCCGAACCTGCACCCAACCATCTCGCGACCCCGCGACCTCGGCCTAGCTAGCCTTGCTATATTGTGCCTAGGCCTCGTTGTTCATTCAGACGTTGTAATCACTTCCGCATTATTGAGTTCTGCGCACTCTTTCCTTTCACAACTTATAACACTTAGGAACTTGAAAAACTGGTTACGCGATTACAACCCCAACCCCCCGCTTCACAACCGAATATAGTCCCCAAACGCCCAAACGTCTGGCTCCCCGCACTCACAGTTCAAAACCAAGGAATTGCAAAAGGAAACTGAAACTGCACTAGTGAGAGGATAGCCCACAAGCTCCTACTTCGGTAGCTGATTCTCCGTAGACTGGGCAACGTTCTAACCTAACCGCTGGATTTAGGGACAGAATTATTTATTGAACCGCGTAACGCTGTTCAAGCGCATGCGCGAACAAATTGCCCATTCGTACGCACTCGCTTAGACCACGCCACCTTAGACAAGGCCGCCCCACGCCTCCTCTCGCTGCCTCATCGCGAGGCCATTAGCGCCGCAATCCCCATTCCGCCGCCTTACCCATTCCTGCTCCTATCGCCTCCCGGTTCGAATTCTCCTTTCGCCTCCCCGGGCGTGCTCCTCTCGCATCCCCGCGCTCTCCTCTCGCTTTCCCCCCGCGCTTCCTCCTCACGCCTCCCCGCGCGCTCGACTCTCGCCTCCCCGCGCGGCCTCCTCTCGCCTTGCCGCGCGTTCTCCTCTCGCCTCCCCGCGCCTGCTCCTCTCGCCTCCCCGCGCCTGCTCCTCTCGCCTCCCCGCGCCTGCTCCTCTCGACTCCCCGCGCCTGCTCCTCTCGCCTTCCCGCGCCTGCTCCTCTCGCCTCCCCGCGCCTGCTCCTCTCGCCTCCCCGCGCCTGCGACTCTCGACTCCCCGCGCCTGCTCCTCTCGCCTCCACGCGCCTGCTCCTCTCGCCTCCCCGCGCCTGCTCCTCTCGCCTCCCCGCGCCTGCTCCTCTCGCCTCCCCGCGCCTGCTCCTCTCGACTCCCCGCGCCTGCTCCTCTCGCCTCCCCGCGCCTGCTCCTCTCGCCTCCCCGCGCCTGCTCCTCTCGCCTCCCCGCGCGTGCGACTCTCGCCTCCACGCGTTTCCTCCTCTCACCTTCCCGTGCATGCGCATCTAGCATACGCATCTTCCCTGCCTCCCCTCGCTGCCTCTCCGCGTCTCGCGGCGGCCTCCTTTCGCGAGCTGCACTCGAATAAGGCCCTCGGCCCTCTCTCACTCTCTTGCAACGGCTGTGCTTCCGCATCCCCGCTGCACGCCCTAAAAAACCCCCCCTGAACGCCCTCACTGCCCCACATGTACGCTCTCGTTTTCCCTCCCTGCTTGCCCTCGTTTCCCCACCTTGCACGCCCTCATTTTCTCCCTTGTACGCCTTATTTTCCCCCTTTGCACGATCGCATTTCCCCCCCTGCTTGCCCTCAATTCTCCCCTGCTTGCCCTCAATTCTCCCCTGCTTGCCCTCAATTCTCCCCTGCTTGCCCTCAATTCTCCCTTTCTCCTCCTCTCGCCATGCCTTCTCCCCCTCCCGCCACCCCCTCTCCTCCTCTCGCCATAGCTTCTCGTCCTCTCACCATGCCTTCTCCTCCTCCTGCCACCCCCTCTCCTCCTCCCACCATGCCTTCTCCTCCTCCTCCCACCATGCCTTCTCCTCCTCCCACCATGCCTTCTCCTCCTCCCGCCACCCCTTCTCCTCCTCCCAACATGCCTTCTCCTCCTCCTGCCACCCCCTCTCCTCCTCCCTCCCTGCCTCCTCCCCCTCCCGCCGTGCCTTCTCGTCCTCCCGCCACTCCTTCTCCTCCTCCCCCTTCTCTCCCTTCTCTCCCTTCCCTCCCTTCCCTTCCTTCTCTCCCTTCCCTCCCTTCTCTCCCTTCCCTCCCTTCCCTCCCTTCCCTCCCTTCTTTCCTTTCTCTCCCTTCTCTCCCTTCCCTCCCTTCTCTCCCTTCCCTCCCTTCCCTCCCTTCCCTCCCTTTTTTCCTTTCTCTCCATTCTCTCCCTTCCCTCCCTTCCCTCCCTTTCCGTCCCTTCCCTCGCTTCTCTCCCTTCCCCCTTCTCTCCCTTCCCTCCCTTCTCTCCCTTCCCTCCCTTCTCTCCCTTCCCTCCCTTCCCTCCCTTCCCTCCCTTCCATGCCTTCTCTCCCTTCCCTCCCTTCCCTCCCTTCCCCCTTCTCTCCCTTCCCTCCCTTCTCTCCCTTCCCTCCCTTCCCTCCCTTCCCTCCCTTCCCTGCCTTCTCTCCCTTCCCTCCCTTCCCTCCCTTCCCCCTTCTCTCCCTTCCCTCCCTTCCCTCCCTTTCCGTCCCTTCCCTCCCTTCCCTCCCTTCCCCCTTCTCTCCCTTCCCTCCCTTCTCTCCCTTCTCTCCCTTCCCTCCCTTCCCTCCCTTCCCCCTTCTCTCCCTTCCCTCCCTTCCCTCCCTTCTTTCCTTTCCCTCCATTCTCTCCCTTCCCTCCCTTCCCTCCCTTCCCTACCTTCTCTCCCTTCCCTCCTTCCCTCCCTTTCCGCCCCTTCCCTCCCTTCTCTCCCTTCCCTCCCTTCTCTCCCTTCCCTCCTTTCCCTCCCTTCCCCCTTCTCTCCCTTCCCTCCCTTCCCTCCCTTCCCTCCCTTCTCTCCTTTCCCTCCATTCTCTCCCTTCCCTCCCTTCCCTACCTTCTATCCCTTCCCTCCCTTTCCTCACTTTCCTCCCTTTCCGTCCCTTCCCTCCTTTCTCTTTTTTCCCTCCCTTCTCTCTCCCCCCTACCTTCTCCTCCATCCCTCCGGACTGCCCCCATCAGTGCCAACCCTCTCTGCGCATCTTTTGTTTCTCCCCCTTTTGTTCTTCACATCCCGCCTCACCATCTCGCTACCCCGCCACCCCATCTCCCCTTCCTCTCAGTTCCTCTCTTTCTGCCCTTTCGTCCGACCTCTTCATCCTCACCCCTCCACCCCGCATCCCCATCTCTTCCCCCCCTCTTCCCTTTCCCTCCCTGCATCCCCATCTCCCTGCCCTGCATACCTCTCTCCCCTTCCTGCTTCCCCATATCCACTGCATGTTTCCCCATCTCTCCTCCCTGCATCCCCATCTCTCCTCCCTGCATCCCCATCTCTCCTCCCTGCATCCCCATCTCTCCTCACCTGCATCCCCATCTCCCCTCCCTGCATCCCCATCTCCTCACCTGCATCCCCATCTCCCCTCCCTGCATCCTCCCGAAACCCTTCCTAAGCCTGCTTCTCCTTACTTCTCCCCTGCTCCCTCCTGCCTCCCTTCATTTCCCCCCCTGATTCCCATCATTTCCCCTCCTCACTTCTGTCATCACAGCCTATGGTTGAATCAAATACTCCCCCTCCCCGGCTACCTGTATTTCAGTGACCAACTGCTCTGAAGATCTTCATGCTTCAACTCGCCTCACACCATCTCATGTCAAATAAGCTAGAGAAAGGTCAATAGTACTGTATTCGACTTAGCGAGAGCATATTTCTTTCTACCTGTATGTGATGTGACACCTTCACTGTCCATGCATCTTGGATGAATTATCTTCACTGCTGAAATCGTGGTAGCACATAGCAGGCTTTGTGACGAATATCTCTAGCTGTAACACACTACTCATACCGTACAACGCACAATAGACTACACAAAAGTTCTGAGCACCATCCACTACAAGCTGTGCCTTTGTTTGCATCTGCTGCCCTGTTTCAGCACTACCAATTAGCAGAGTAGGCATAAACGATTGTGTGAAGACCCAGTGGGGACGTGCTATGAGGCGGAAGAGGAAAAACAGACCCTGAATACAAGCAAGCGTACAAGGGAACCATGTGCACAAGCACCGGGGGGCAGAAGGGAAAAGTGGGTGAGGGTGAAGGGGAGCGCATGCAAGGGAAGGGAAGGGAGAAGGGATCGGGAAGAGAAGGGTGGGGCAGGAGAAGGGAAGGGCAGGGAGTGGAGATGTGAAGGCAGGGAGTGGAGATGTGAAGGCAGGGAGTGGAGATGTGAAGGCAGGGAGTGGAGATGTGAAGGCAGGGAGTGGAGATGTGAAGGCAGGGAGTGGAAATGTGAAGGCAGGGAGTGGAAATGTGAAGGCAGGGAGTGGAGATGTGAAGGCAGGGAATGGAGATGTGAAGGCAGGGAGTGGAGATGTGAAGGCAGGGAGTGGAAATGTGAAGGCAGGGAGTGGAAATGTGAAGGCAGGGAGTGGAGATGTGAAGGCAGGGAGTGGAAATGTGAAGGCAGGGAGTGGAGATGTGACGGCAGGGAGTGGAGATGTGAAGGCAGGGAGTGGAGATGTGACGGCAGGGAGTGGAGATGTGAAGACAGGGAGTGGAGATGTGAAGGCAGGGAGTGGAGATGTGAAGGCAGGGAGTGGAGATGTGAAGGGCCCCTCAGGTGGATTGCCTCGTCAGCGAGTGATGATTGGCCGTTGATGGGATCCACTGAGAGGCCGACAGCTGGCGCCATGGTGTCAAACACGTGCTTCACCTGCTGGAGTAGGCAGAATGGCACGGTCGTGGGCGAGGAGGGCGAGAGAGGGAGAGGGGGAGGGCGGGATTGTGTGTTGGGCAAAAAGACAAGTTAGTTTGTGGGGCAATGGTGGGAGAGGAAGGTTGATGGTTAAACATCGGCTGGGAAAGTGAGCTGAGGTAGGTGTGAGTTGGTCTCGAGTGGGCAACACCACCACCGCTCTGACTCACCGCGCCTCACACCCTGCCAGTGCCTGCACCACTTGCAGCGCATACGCCAGTGTCTTGACAGGTGTGTTGGCAGGGAGATGAAAGGGACGAGAGGGGGGATAGGATGGAAGGGATTGGAAAAGCGAAGGCGAAGAGGGTAAATGGTGAGGAACATAAAGGTGTTGGGAAGGAAGAGACATGAGATGGCGTGTAAGGCAGGAGAGATCGGAAGGAAGGGTGGGGAGGAGTGACCTCAAGTCAGGCGGGAACGATGTGCTAGCAGGGGGGAAAGGAGGGATGCAGTGGGGGAAAGGAGGAGAAGCAAGGGGGGGAAAGGAGGGGAAGCAAGGGGGGGAAAAGGAGGGAATGCAGGGGGGGAACGGAGGGGAAGCAAAGGGGGAAAGGAGGAGAAGCAAGGGGGGGAAAGGAGGGGAAGCAAGGGGGGGAAAGGAGGGAATGCAGGGGCGGAAAGGAGGGGAATCAGGGGGGGGGGGGGAGGAGGGGAAGCAAGGGGGGGAAAAGGAGGGGAAGCAAGGGGGGGAAAAGGAGGGAATGCAGGGGCGGAAAGGAGGGGAAGCAAAGGGGGGAAAGGAGGGAACGCAGGGGGGGAAAGGAGGGGAAGCAAGGGGGGGAAAGGAGGGGAAGCAGGGGCGGAAAGGAGGGGAATCGGGGGGGGCGGGAAGGAGGGGAAGTAAGGGGGGAAAGGAGGAGAAGCAAGGGGGGGAAAGGAGGGAATGCAGGGGCGGAAAGGAGGGGACAGAGGGGCGCTAAGCGAGTGACGCGCTAAGCGGGTGACGCGCTAAGCAGATGAGGTGAGCAGCGGGTGAGGCGCTAAGCGGGTGAGGCGCTAAGCGGGTGAGGCGCTAAGCGGGTGAGGCGCTAAGCAGGTGAGGCGCTAAGCGGGTGAGGCGCTAAGCGGGTGAGGCGCTAAGCGGGTGAGGCGCTAAGCTCGTCGGCCTGAACGCGTTGAGCCCGCCGAGGGCAACGCGGCGGGGCAGGAAGGTGGGCAGACAGTTGCCTTACCAAATTTAGCGATTTTGAATGCAACGATTGCATTGCAGCGATCCCGCCGAATGCGACTAGCCGTGGCGCCTAAGAAATAGGTTACGACGAGCGCGCCGCATACATTGCGGGCTCGGCGAATGCTACGCGGCGGCAGTCCGAATGCAAAGCGGCGGGGCAAACCGAAAGGGAGATGCGGGGCTCGATTGATGGTCGTTTTCGAGGCGTAGCCTAATCTGTACATGTGTAGATACTCCCAGCCATCCATGTGAGATGTCGCGCTATTGGTATAGCACCCTAAAGCCCAGCATGGCTAGTTATATCGCGGAAATTACTAGTAGTCGCTGATTCAATCGCCAAGTGTGTGAGAGTAGCAACGTAGCTTGGTGATGGGAGATTTTCCCATTTTGTTGTGACCCCCCAACCCAACCCTGGTTCCCCGCTTCAGATTTTCGCCAACCCTCTCGCCAATATTTTGTTTTCGTTTTGGCGAAAACGCCTTGCGTGCTGTAGATCCTCAAACAGTACTGTCAAATGTATACTGCTGCTTTAAGGAATACGACTACTGTTGTAATGCACTCTACACCGGCCTGTAATCTACGGTAGTTAGCAGAGACCATGCATGGCTGCTTTCATTAGATGTGTGTTTATCAAGCCCTTTGACTGTAGCATAGATTGCCAAGCTCAATGTTGGATATACGAACAATACCAAGCCCACGAATGACTTACTGGCAGCCAGTACAGCTACCTAAGGATCCTGATAATATCTTTATATTTCTAAACGGGTCTGCTAACTAGCAAGCCCCACATTCTACCTCTCCGTCAAGCGGGCAGCTTCGTGCCTTTCGGGAACTGCGGGTTGTTGACGCCATGCGCGATGAAGTACGGCCCGACGTACATTTGAGGCTGAACCACAGTGCTCCACGTGGGACGCGCCATGCCCACCTGGCCCAGCATGATATTCGGGCCCTTAGGGGACATCTTAACAAGACTCAAACCCTTGAGCTGAGTCCGGAGCAGCTGGCCCCTCGTTATAGCTTGAAGCTGGGTCTGCGTGAAACGGGTCGCGATGATCTGGACGGCGGTGAGGTTGTAGGCGGTATCGGTGGAGATCTTCTTGCCCTTGAAGCGCTTCGCTAGCGCGTCAGCCACGGCGTCGTTCATCAGGAGGAGCGTGGAGTTCTTGAGCGCGGAGAAATCGTACTTGGAGTTCACTGTAACGGGTGTAACGGGGATAAAAGGGAAAACCGAGAGAATTCGCAGAGATGAGAAGGGCGTCAGGACAAGAATGGAATGCTGGTTGTTGAATAATGCCGCGAGATGTGACACCCAAGGCTACACGTGCGGTAATTTCACGCCACTTGAATCCACCGGACACTATAAATCCAGTTCCCTTGACTGATTAGGAAGTGCTGTGCTATTCTGAATTCCTAACCTGTAAAGTGGTTCGAATGCCGGATTTCGATTTAGGGATGCTAAGCAAAGTACTGATTTTGAAAATCCCGATCCTCAACAACTCACATGCAACATTGATGACCTTGTTGACTTGCGCCGAGTACTTGGCGTATTTGGGGTACTTCTTCGTGATCGTCGCCGATAGCTTCTTCAGCTCGGCGCGCAGCTGCGTCTTTGTCGGCGGTGCAGCGCCGTCAACGCTGACGGCCGACAGGCAGACGACGGCTGCGAGGACTAGCGTGACGGCTAAAATGATTGACCGAGCCATGACTGTGCTTCGCCTGCTTCGATTTGGAAACTATTCCGCGAGATGCGGTGAGAGCCGGAGTGTGTTCAGAGAGCTAGGAAAGCGAGCAAGCCTTGAAACAACTAGTGGATCCGAATGAAGTGTAAGGCGTTGTGGAAGGCTACTTCCGAACTGGATGGTGCTCAGGTGTTCTATGCTGATTGCTGTTTAGAATGGGAGTGCTCACCAGTGTTTTAGAGACACACTTGTCTATGGGAACCGAGACGCGGAGCAACGAGTCACGACTCGCTACCAGGAGTCCTTCCTGGTCCGCCCTGATTTGTCGGCAGTCTTTTCGGAGCGCCGCGCTGTCAACGCTACAAGAAACGGCGTCCTCAAAGAGCCGCAAGTAAAGCCGTTTCCTTGCGACCGTCAAATGGGTATGGTTGGGACTCCGTGCGACCAACTCGGCAGTTTCTTTTTGCCACCACCCCCCCTCCCCCAACCACCCCCGTCTCCCCCCCTCCCAACCCAAGCCAACCCTTTCCCCCATTGTTTCGTGTGGTGCGGTCACTTGGCCTCTCGATGTCTACGAGCCTGTTCGTCTTGGACTGGCTGGCTCGGGCAGGGATTTGGGAGGGAGCTAGTGCAACGGTGGCCCAGCTCGGGGGATCCTTTGGTCTGGGCAGAACAATGAGTGTTTCAGAAAAATCTTGGCCCCTCAGATCGGAGGGCAAGGGGTTTGCCCTTGCCATGCCATCGTTCACCCGTGGTTTGATTGGTTTGGCTCGGGTGAAGCACGACGCGAAACCCATTCACGGGGCTTGCCATCGTGCAGCATGCAGGTGGGGAGCGACCGACATCGCCACCGCGATTTGATGCTTTCGAAGTACAGTACCTGCCACACCCTACACATGTCGGTGACGCGTTGCTGAGTAACTCGCACCTGTGCATGAGATACATCCGCACAATCACACATAGAAAGCCTACCAGGCACAAATTCTGGCAATACTAATAAAACTAACTTCTGTTTAGTGAAGGACAACTCATAAACAGGAGCGGAGCGGATCCATAGCAAATAAGTCTGAGCACAATGCAATGTGCAATGTCAAATGCGATAAAAAAAATTGTGGTGCAAGCCTAGGTTGCAGTGCTTACATCCCCCATAGGTAGTCAAATACTGTGAAGGCTGCCATGCAAATAAACAGGGGTTGGTCTGGGTGTACCTTGACTCGGGCACCTAGAGATGAAGACGTTGGGTTGAAAATGTTGTCCATCCATAAGGAGATTAGTTTTCTTGCAATAAGACAAGACTTCCATTCCATTAGTTTTGTGTACATACGGTGATAGACTACACCACCCTGCCACAGAAACTAGCACCTCCAGGTCTGCCCTTCACTGTGGCAATATGTTGTTGTAGTTGCACCGCAATCATAGCACCACCTTGCCGGCCAGACATATTTGCCCAAGATTGGGGGCAGGAAGGAAAGCAAGTGGAGCGTGCAAATGGAAAGATGACGGAAAGGGGAGAGGGGGGAGAGGAGGGTGGAGAGGTGGGGTGGAGTAGAGGGGTGTGGGGAGGAGAGTGGAGGGAAGGCGAGCTGAGGGGGGGTTGGTACAGGACAGGTCACAGAAGCCTTCACACGCACCACCAGCACCCACTATAATTCTAGATGGATACTTGCTGGTTTCCATATGAGAAATGTACTTGCATGCCAGATTTGCTGGTGAATACTTGAACGTGCCATTAAGTGGCGAAAATCGTGATGTCGTCTGCTGAGGTAATAGCAGAGAAGGGCGTGGTTCCCAACAGTTGAAGAAGTGTCAGCTCCTTATACTCCCTGCGACCTAGGAATCCATGCTGGTTTGAACTTTTTGCACTGGGAGAGTTTCTTTGCTCACTTCAGCGCAACATTGACTGTGGCGGAGGTGGCAAGCCTCTTGCTTGAAGTATCCGCATGTTCTCTTCATAGCCTGGAAAAGAACCAAGAAACTTTCGTGAACGCGCAGACAGGAATGTACTTTCCGGAATCTCATCAGCCACAGGATTCATGAAGGCTTCAGGTCAAATACAGGAGCAAGCCCAACAACCAGGTGTGAATAGCGTACCTCGTTTCGGGTCCCATCCTCGGTTCTTAAGCTCTCTGATTTCTTGAGCTATAGAGCAGCACAAGCAAGCGCAATGCATTAAGCAGTCACCGCAGGGTCGCGGAGGTAAAACGTATTTCTGTCGTAGCTTGTTCCGAACTCCTGTCAGTTCAAAGGATTCACCGAGTCAGCGATACGAAATGCGGCACCAGGAGGACTGGAAGGACAGAAACATTTGATTACTTGGTCGTTTAGAAAAAAGAGAACAAAGGCGGAACACCTTACCTTGAGAATAAAGGCATCCAAGCATTACTAATTGGAAGAGGAAGAATAGACAGCACGATGTCGTCGCATCTGTTCATATTGACCCAATAAGAGAACGGAATGCATCATGGGTTGACTTCAGTTGAATAAGATATTGAGCATTCACATAGCGAATGACGTGGCTCGGGTTCAATGCGAAAATATGCAATGCGACTCTGCGATAGTGGGAGATCGTAAGCGTATCTAACCTGAGTCGCCGTCGGTGACGATTTCTGTTGTTCGTCCCACGAGGACGCACGGACAAAAAAGCGCACAGCACGCTGGCCACACGATAATAAACAAGGTCACGGAGAATTCAAACTGTCAGCTACATGAACGTACGAACTGCTAAATAAGCTATCTAGAAGAAAGACCTGTTGAACGAAATACGTCACCGTAATCAGAAACCACGCTGGGGAACAACACCGACGACACGATAACTGCAGAAAGTGTACAAGGACCTACTGGTTGCACAGTCTTCGTGGCAATCCGTGCATGACGTCGTCCAGTCACCTATAGGCACACCGTAACCCATTCTGCGGTCAACTAATGCGAATCTGTTTCACCTAGAATGTGCAATAGTTACTACGCAGAACAGTAGCTGCAAATTCTCGAAACAGGTCCTCCACAAGCTGCTACCGCCTAGTTCCGGACGCCTTCGCATTAAAGTACATAGTACAGCCTAGAGTTCCAGACGCCTATTTTACTTTAGACTAGTAGTTTCGTTGCCCTAAATCAGACAATGGGATTCGCCTCGAAGACGTAAGCGGGGAAACCACAGGAGACGATTGACAGCAAAACGCGCTTTGCCTCTCAATCAACTATGCCTGTCCCTCCCTGCCTCAGGTGCCTTCTCGCTGACACGGGCAAACGACGGATTCCGTTCCGATCTGTTCTGTCACCTGTACTCAATCATACCGCGATGCTTTCTCGCGGATAAATGTGGATTGTCAGGTTCGGGGGGGAGACCGCCAGAGCAGATGTACAGACCTGCGATTGGTGAAGTAGGCTAGATGAGTCGGACGGAGACTCCAACGGATCAGATTGATTTAACGATACCTCGAGCCTGACGTTTGTGGGAACTACCGGTTCGCGCTGGCTGCTTCGGGAGCTACGAGCCATACCAGCTGACAATGGCAAGGAGGGAGAGAGGTTTGACGTAGGTGCGGCAGGGCTAGCCGAAACGGGTCAGGGGAGAATTCAATTGCTGCTGGTCTGACTGGCTGGCAATCAAAATACAAGGACGTGGGTATGGTTCATCATCTTCCTCATTTCTACACTGTTACACATCACAGATAGATTTGACAAAATCGAAGTAATGATCACGTTTCCATTCCCAGTAAGATGCAGGAGGAACAGCATGATTTCATTGATCCATTCAAAATTGCCAGATACTACAGAGACCACACGACACGCCCTACTAAAAAGGACATGCCTTCGACTTATGATAGAAACCTCCTTCCTGAAAGCAAAGATAGGAAGCGTCGTGAGAAGCCTGGACAACCACAACACAAGTATTTTCAACCCAACCAATGCGGGACTTGAACTTCACCTTAGATCTTGTTGAAGGCCACGATGTCGCAGCTCTGGATGTACTCAGCAGCCTCGCCCTGCTGCAGGTGGTCCTCAATGAGCTCATCCAGCGACACAAGGTCGTCCACAATGGTCATCATGATCGTCATCTTCTTGATGCCGTACCCAACGGGGACCAGCTTGGCTGCGCAGCATAGCAGAAAAGCAATTTAGCAGACAAAACATTGCAAGGGTTAAAGAGTTGTGCAGATGAGCAGCGATCCAGGTCAAAACGCTCTCAAAGCACGTGCTGCAGAGGACCTCACAAAGCCACACCATCCGACCTAAACCCTTACTACCCACCAAGCCTCTCAATTGTCCAGGGTTCAATCCCCAAAAAAATTTCAGTGCATGCAGAAGGTGAGAAATAGAGGAAAATAGGTAGGGTACTCACAGGCGCCCCAGAGCAGGCCGTCCATCTGCACCTTGCGCACGGCCGCCTCCAGCTTGGCCATGTCCGTCTCGTCGTCCCACGGCTTCACGTCCAGCAGCACCGACGACTTGCCGCCTGCCACACACGCAACACGCACACCACGTCAGTTCAGCTTCAAGACAGTTTGCATCGCCCCAACGGTACAGCCACAGGCGGAAAACCATGTCGAGGTTCAGGTAGCATAGTTTAGGCAGGCGGTCAGGCGGATACTCACTCTCCTTCTTCTTGCCCGAAGCGGCCGCCTTCGCCTCACGCTCGGCCGCCGCGGCCTTCTCCTCCTCCGTGGCCTCGCCGAACAGATCCAGATCGTCGTCGTCGTCGTCCTGCCATCGCACGGCCACGGGCATGAGCACGGGGGTGTTTGGGAGGTGGGGGAGGGTTCACTGATCTAGATTGCCTTCCCAAATAAGGAAAAAAAAAGCAGGATGCGAGATCGCAACAATGCATGGTGGGACTGCAAGATCTGAGTTTTGGATGAGGCACTATCACGTGCTCGCTGCGAGGTTTTAAGATTGTCTGGTGCGGAAACTGCCGGCTCCAAGCCGGAACTAAGCTTTAAGCGTCGGCGGCAGCACGTCAATTGACAGCACACTGCACGATGCATGCGGCATGCTGTCACTCGCTCTGCGGTCCCCTTTACAACACATGCACTCAACACTCTCGCGCACGGTCAAGAATAAGGACAGCGTTGGTTCATCATACGTCAGTCACTCCACAGCCTAACCCTGATATGCATTAGGGTATCAACCAGATCCACGTCAGAGCACCAGCCGCGCACCTCTGATAGTCAGCGTACCTCAGCGGGCTTGGCCTCGGCAGCGGGAGGAGTGGCGACAGCTGCAGTGGGAGCAGCGGCGGCAGGAGCAGCACCGCCGATCACCACACCCACGCCGGGGCCGGCGAAGCTGGGAACAGGAGGATCGAAAGTAGACAGCGGGCAGAGGGAAGACAAGACGCGGAACGAAATGACATCAAACGACGCGACGATACGATAACATCGTCAGGGAGGCGCCCCAGAGACCAACGATGAGGCATCGCCGCGGACATAGGGTGTGGAGTTAGTGGTCACAGATCAGGGATAGAAGTACGACAAACATCGATGACATGCCCAACTCAGGTTAAGTCAAGACATAAGAATACCGGCTTTTCAGATAAGTAGTTTATTACGACATAAAAAAACCCTGCGATAAGAACTCAAAGAATGACTCACTTAGCACCGAGCAGCGCCTTAATGTGGGTGTACCACCGCGCCGCGTTGGTGTAGCCCTTGGGGAACGTCTTCAGCGCGCTGTAGACCGTGAGGTCATCGCGCGACGCCTGGAAGCTGCGAGGCAAGAGATCGAAACAGGAAAGGCGGAGCACAACACAATTGGGGAAAGTAGCAGCAAGATGAAAGTAGCAAGGACGAGGGCAGAGCGGGATGCAATGAAAAGCGGCGTGTAGTGAAATGGGGCGGGAAACGCGGAAACGCGACTAGATCCAGCGTCAACGGTCTCAACGATGCAAACCCTGAACCCCTGAAGGAATCCGTACCCCGAGATGTAGCTGCGGGTGAGGAGGTACTCGTCAAGCTGCTTCAGACCATCAGGGGTGGAGAGGTCACCGAAAGAGATAGCCATTGTAAGTGAGGTGCGTGATTACCGAAGTCTGAAGTGAGACAAGACGAGATACAGCTAAGCTGTGAAGGGGAGTCGGAGACTGAAAGAAGGAAAAATTGGAAATGGTGGAGGTGACTATCAATTTGTTTACATAAAGTCTATCTTAAACATTTCTATTTGCAATCCGGGGATGTAGCTCAGATGGTAGAGCGCTCGCTTAGCATGCGAGAGGCACGAGGATCGATACCCCGCATCTCCACATTTATATTTCTAGGGCATCGAATAATCGACACAGTATTGTCCCTTCCGAAATAAGAAACTACACTACGTAAATGATCAGCAGGTGTTATCGAGTGCATAAATACGTTGCGAAAACCACACCAGCACCTAACTTTATGCAGAACTGTTACGAATAACGAGTAGAATGTAGAGATTGCGTCAGCATAGCTCGCAATATCGATGCTACTATCTGGAGGGAAGTTTGCTTTGGAGCGTACGGTGCAGCCCACTCTCCGCCACACAATTTTTATCTGTGGCTGGATCAGTTTGCCAGGATGCGCTCCCGAGCCTGCAAGAGTGACCCTCCCGTTTCTGACCACCAAAATCGAGGTGCTTCATGAGCCACGTATTTTAACCCAAACCTTCACGGGCCCTGAGGTTCGGTCCTTGGTTAGGCTAGGCCCCTCTTGCAGCCCCCTTGCCTGATCAGATCAACCTTTTGGCCACCTTGTAAAGTGGCGACGCTTTTCCAAGAACCATTGAAAGATCCAACGGCCGTAGTCGCTCCTGTATTTGTGGCTGTGGCTCCTTGGGATTTTTGTGCCTGGCATGGCATGCACCGTGCCGAAGCACACTGGGTTTGCTGGGCTTCTCTTGAGCTTCCACCTGGGCTTCAGCTGGGGTGAACCATGAGCCATGTGTCTACCTGCTGCTGGCCTTCTCTTTGTCGCTGACAAGAAGTGAACTCGCCTCACCTCACCAATGTTGATTTTTCTCGGATATTTTGCAGAAGCACAAGTTGCGAATATCTTTACCTTCACTAAATAGATGCTCATGGAGTTGCTTCCTTTCTTCAGCTTGGTGGACCCTTAGCCTCTAGCCGAGCTGCGTAACTCAGACTCAACCAGATCGAGTCTGCGTGTCATGAATCCTCAGACTCAAACGCAAGGTACAATGGAGCCTAATCCCGAGGTACCGTCAAACGTCCCGGCAACAACGGCGCGACCCGTATTCCCCCAAAACCTTAGTCCCTTCCCGTTCCTGCTGGTCCTCGTCGGCCCGCCGGGCAGCGGCAAAAGCAGATTTGCTGGACTCTTGATCGCGGATGCCGCCTTACGATACGAGCGCGTTTGCCAGGTCTGCCTCTCTAGCTGCTCTTCGATTCTAGGAAATAGGGAACCGTCATTTAGGTCACGAATAAACAAAAACTCTATCTGCTTAGACGATTTCGTGTCTGACATGAAGTTCTTTCAGGCACATCGCTTGACTACGACAGTAACGGCCATGATACAGTTTGATTCCCACGCTTATTTGACATGCTCTGAGTCATGCCATCTGCGCACACTGAAGGTTCCGAGATGGGCAACCCAGGCATAACGTATCAATCTCGCACCCGGACTGTCTCCATATGTATTCAGGCTCATGAGCCCGCACCTATTTCCGTTGCAGTCCCTCACATGAACCTCAGTTCCCAAGTGCTTTTGGAGTCAGCTGCTCGTCCTGCAGATTTCACAGCCATTCCCGTCTTCCCGTGACGTTTCTCCCCCATGTGGTTTCTGATGTCAGGACGTGGCGTCATCGCGAGGGACACCTGGCACTCGGAAGCAGTGCTTGGCGCAAGTGAGTGGTTATCGTGCACTTTCCCAACCCTCTGGATGTCCAATACGTTCTCGCTGATCATGGGAATGTCCGTTGCTGCACACCTATCATCGTCACTGATGTTGGTAGACCTGAGCGGACACGCCCTGCCAGGTACTAACCCCCTCCCTTGTTTCGCGCTCTTCCTTCTTACTCTCTTCCTCCTTCAACTTTCACTCACCTCGCAGGTGAGGCGGCACCTGCTGTCCGGGGCGAGCGTGGTGCTGGACCGCTGCAACATGAGCGTGGAGCAGCGCGCCGAGTTCCTCCCTCTCACGCTATTTCTACCTTCCCCCCTTGTCCCCTTGTCTCGCGCTCTCTGTTCTCGCAGGTGAGGCGGCACCTGCTGTCCGGGGCGAGCGTGGTGCTGGACCGTTGCAACATGAGCGTGGAGCAGCGCGCCGAGTTCCTCGCGCTCGCGCGCAACTGCAACGTGCAGTCGCACGTGCTCGTGTTTAAGCTCCCCGTGGCGCTCGTCGTGCAGCGCGCGGTCAACCGAGTCAACCACGAGGGCGGCGTGCAGGTGAGAGGGATTTCTGAGTCGACTCAAACGTGCAGTCGCACGCCATTGGAAGCAAGGGGTTAACCGCGTCAACCACGGGGGCGGGCGGAGTGAGTAAAGTTGACCGAGAGCAGACGTGTGCTTGTAAGGCCTCAACTCGCACCCCTCTCTGCCTCTCACCCCGCAGGGCCCCCGGGCTGCGAGCATCATACGGCATCAGATGAAGATGCGCGAGCCCCCTGCAGCGGTGGAGGGCTTTCAGCGCGTCACCGTGTGCCGCACCGACGCCCACGTGGACCAGGCGCTCTCCTTCTACCGCGCCCTCCGCCCCTCCGCTTTTGCCGCTGCCAGTGGTGGCGGTGGTGCTGAGGGTCCTGGCGTAGTGGGGCTGCAAAGGGCGGGAGGAGGAAGCCTGGAGGTGCAAGGAATGCAGCAGAGGCACGGGGGAGAGGAGCTAGACGCGCGGGTACGGGAGATGCAGCTGGGGCACTGGAGAGAGGGGGAAGATGCGCAAGCGCAGGGACAGGGAGCAGAGGGAGCAGAGGGAGCGAGCCAGGGAGGTCGGGAGGGCCCAGGGCGTGTATGGTGGCAAGGGCGTGCAGAGAGAGAGCGGGTGAGCACAGACACACCCTCCCACAGTGTACTGTGTAGCCGTGCTGCTACTGCTACTGCTCCTCTCTCTGCTGCTGCTGCTTCTGCTCCACTCCGTGCTGCTGTAGGTGCTCCGCGTGTGTTAGGATCTGATCCTCCCTTTTCTATTGCTGCCACGCCAGGAACCCAGGAGCGACCAGCCGCGTTGGGAACGAGGGGGCGAGGGGAGAGGCAGGGGGAGGGGGAGGGGGATGTGGAGGGGGGTGGGGAAGGGGGGAAGAATGTGGCGGAGAGAGGGGGAGAGAGAGGATGGTATGGGGACGGGAAGGGGAGGAATTTAGTGTGGAGGGGTGAGAAGAAGTGGGATGGGGAGGGAAATGGGAGGGCGGTAGAGAGAAGGGGAGAAAGGGAGGGCGATGGGGATAGGGAGAGACGGGCGAAAGAGGGAGCAGGAGGGGAGGGAGAGCAGCAAAAAGCACTGAGAAACCGAGAAGAAGAGGAGGAGAAGCAAGTGCGAACCATGTCGTTTGGTCGTAGTCAAGGTGCGGCTGGTAGGGTAGACGTAGGCGTGGGAGCAGTAGAGTCACGTGCCTCTGTAGCTGCTTCTGTGACTGCTGCTGTAGCTGCTGCTGTGCCTGCAGCAGAAGCAGTGGCAAGCAGAGCAACGGAAGGTAGGAATGTGGGCACAAGTAGAGTAGGCGATCATAGTACTTCACAGGCTGGAGTGTATGATGTGAGGCGGTTTTTCCGTGCCAAACCGCAACAGGAAGCTGCTATTAACGGGGATGCGGGGATGGGCAACAGCGGAGGGAGGAGAGATGAGGTTGATGGATGGAGATGCGAGAAACATGGGGAAGCGACGACAGAAGCAGAACAGAGCGAGAAGGAGGAGCAGCGGAAGCAGCAGATTGAAGAACAGAGGCTGCGGCAGCAGCGGCAGCAGTGGCAGCAACAGCAGGAGAAGCAGCAGGAGCAGGAGAAGTGTGAAATGGAGCGATGGTGGAAGAGAAGACGAGTGCACACGGATAGCGAGCGAAACGCAGGTGGGAGGACATTCCCTTTCCACTGTCACCGTTCCTCTCACTCTTCCATCCCTCGTTTTAATTTCCACCTCCAAACCCAGACTCCAATCTTTGTCCCTGTTCTTCTTTTCGAGGTATCTCGGCAAAAGCTTGCTCCGGTGACAAGTCATAAAGCGCTTTTGTCGAGAAGATACCACGTGTGCTGCTTTTCTTCCACGAGTGCTCCGCTCTCACTCTCTCACCCTCGCCCCTCGCCCCCACCGTCTCCCTCTCTCACTGCCCCGCGTGCTACCGCTGCTTCTAGGGTGCAGGCATCGTGAATGGGCGGGGAGAGGCCCTCGTGGATGCGCAGGGGGAAAGGCTCGTGGATGGGCGGGGGGATGGTTGCGTGGATGGGCGGGGGAAGGGCCGAGGAGAGGTGGGTGAATGGCGACATGTGCAGGCACATGGGAACCTGGAGAGCTCGTTTGGGCTGAGGCAAGACGGGTGTGAGCAGATTGCTGCTGCCGCTAATGAAGGGGCCGAGAAGAACGAGGGTCGACAAAGAGGAGGGGAGGGGGGAGGCAAGGGCGACGAGCACGATCAGCAGAGGGAGGAGCGCAGAGATCACCGAAAGGTGGATGGAAACCAGGGAGAGGAGCAGGACGATGAGATAGACGAGGAGGAGCAGCAGCAGCCACCGCAGCCACCGCCACAGCAGCAGCAACAGCAAGCGCAGCAGCGGGAGGCAGCAGGACGGTGGGTGCTGGCGTTTCCGTCCATCTCAACGGCTGACTTCAAGTTTGACAGGGAGAGGGCGGCTGCAGTGGTGCTTGACTGCGTCACTGAGTTCCTCTGGCGCAACGGGGGCAGCAGCCACGGCAGCACCACTGCCAGGAGTGCGGGCGAGGGCAGGGTGGGTGCGGAGGGTCGTGAGGGTGGTGGGGACTGTGAGGGTGGTGTGGGTGGTGTCGAGGAAGGGGAGAGGGAAGGGAGCAGGTTTGAAGGGATGGTTATAAGTGGTACTGGTGCTGCCACTGCTGCTGACGATGGTGGTGGTGGTGCGGTTGCTGGCACTAATGTTGATGCTAGTGCTGCTGCTGCTGCTGTTGCTGCTGCTGCTGCTGCGGTAAGGGATGCACTGAGGCGAGGGGGGAACGGCAATGGGAACGGTGACAGTAACGGTGCCAGTGGAATGGGCAGCTGTAGCGTGAATGGAAACGGAAACGGAGGTGATAATAACGGTGCCAGTACCAGACACAAACAGCCTGCAGCAGCAGCTAAAGAAAGACCCTCAGCACCTGGAGAAACGAGACAAGCATCACCGCCCAGAGCACCCGAGAGCAGACAAAGATCGCCGGCAGGCGGCAACACATCGTCTACAGTGTCTGACTCCCCGCCGAAGCAAGAGACGCTTGAGCGCTGTCCAATCCTGGACGTGGTATTGGTGGATCTCTCGCCCTCCTCTGACATGCTGAGGCGAGTGAAGCGCTTGGCTCGCCAGAGGGGGCTGCCGTTCGTTGAATCTGGACGGCTTAGGCGAGGAGCGGATGGTGGAGAGAAAGACAAGGCGAGACGGTTCATTGAACCTGGGCGGGAGGGAGGAGCCGAAGGTGGGGGGAGGGGTGAGAGGGAGGAAGAGGGGCGAGGGCATGTGGCTAGGGAAGGACCAGGAGAGGGCCGAGCTGAAGGTGCTGCTCCTGCAGCAGCAGCTGTCACTCTTGGTGCTGTCACTGCAGCTGTGGCCGCCACCGCTGCTCCTCCTGTTGCTGCTGCTGCAGGTGGTGGCAGGGGCGCTACTGGTACAGGGGCTGGAGATGTGTGTGATGGCACTGCTGCTGGAGAAGTTGGTAAAGAGGGAAGGAGGGCGGGCAGAGGTGGTGACAAGGACACGTGGGATGACAGCACACGTGGCAGATTCATTCTGCATGCCGGGGATATCACCAAGATGAGGTCGGATGGCGGCATTGAATGCCACGTCATCGCAAACTCGGCCAACTGGTAGGCTGACGTGGCATCGCATGGAATGCTGCTTCCACCATGCATCAGCACGTACAGTAACACGTGGTACTTATTTGGCATGCGTCTCATACCCTGAGACTTCGATTATACACATTATCATAGGCGTCCATTATATGCCCATTGTGCACCGTGCAGTACTCTGTACTGAATGATATACTGTACTGTGCTTCCTCTCTTGGCTGTGCTGTGCTGTGCGTGGGTGTGTGTGTGTGTGTGTGTGTGTGTGTGTGTGTGTGTGTGTGCTGTGCTCTGTGTGTGCGTGCAGCCGTCTGTTACCGGGTGGGGGTGGAGTGAATGCAGCCATCCACAGTACTGCCGGCCCCAGCCTCATTGAGGCTACACGGCGGAAGTGGCAGCAGCAGCAGCAGCAGCAGCAGCAGCAGCAGCAGAGGCAGCAGAGGCAACAGAATGAGACCCAGCAGCAGCAGCAGGCAGCGACACAGGAGAAGCAGGATCGTGTTGGGCAGCAGCAACAGCAGGAGCAGCAGACGCAGCAGCAGCATGGGGAGCATCAGGGGCATGGGCAATACCTGACTCAGCAGAAACCAAGTGGGGAAACGCACCTCTCCCCTCCTCCCCAGCCCCATCCTCTCCTCCTCTCTCCAGGCTCTGTTCTCTCCGCGCCCCTGCCCCTCTCCTCCCCTCTAAGAGCCCGTGAGGGGGTAAGGCACGTGGTGCACGTGGTGGGACCCAATATGAATCCTCGTCGCCCCAACTGTCTGGATGGTGACTATAACGAGGGCGAGAGGCTGCTCAGGTCCGCGTATGGGGCGCTCTTTAGAGAGTTCCGCCTGCTGGCCAAGGGGGGAGAGGAGGGGCGCGCGGAGAGGGCGGATGGAGGGGAGGAGGGAGTGGGGAGAGTGAGGGCGAGGGAGCAGGGTGGAGATGGGGAGAGAGGGATGGAAGGGGGAGTGGAAGGGCGAGGAGGTTGGGGGGTTGTGGGGGAAGGTCGGGTTGGGAAAGAGGTATTGGTTGCAGCTGAGGGTGGGATGAGGGGAGAAGGGAGGAGGTGGGTGGAGGAGGCACGTGATGGGCTTGCAGGGACGAAGGTAAGAGAGTCTGTGGGAGGAGAGAGGGGAAGGGAGGAGAGAGACAATGGTGGGTCGTGGGAGGATGGGGTAGGTGGCGGAGTGGGGATGAGGAGAAGAGATGGAGGTGCTGGGGGTGATTCTGGAAAGGGGAAGAGGAAAGCTCGTGAGGGTGAGGGTGAGAGGGACGAGGTCGACGAGAGGAGAGCAGTGGGAGCGGGGAGTAAGAGGAGAAGGGACGAGGAGGGGGGAGGTGAGAGGGAGGGCGAGGGGATTAGGGAGCTTGAAGGGAAAGAGATGGATGATGAGAAGCGAGGGGGGCAGGGGTTTGGAGGAGAAAGGAGAACGGGAGGACGGGAGAATCTGGGAGGGGAAGCGAGGGAGCAGCAGCACCAGCAGCAACAGCAGCAGCAAGGCAGGGAGGATTCAGGCGTGGGGAAGGGTGAAGCTGCACGAGATGCATTTGCGGTGCTGATGGGGAGGGGCAGGAAGAGAAGGGCCGATCACCAGGTAAGGGTTAATGCCGACGCTGCTTCAGACGTCCTCCCCGAAGCTAAGCGGCACGCACGGGATGCGGAAATGACAATTGGAATCGGCACGGTGGTCGCTCTTCCTCCCACCATTGCCCATGTTGCCACCACCGTCTTATTCACTCCTCCAGCAGAAGAGCTTGCAGCTGCGGCATTACCAGCAACAGCAGCACCAGACGCACCAAGGGCAGCTGCACCAGCGGCCGTTGCAGCAGTAGCAGCTGCAGCTGGAGCAGCAGGCACAGAAGTACCAGGTGTAGCAGCATCAAGCGCAGCAGCAGTAAATGCAGCAACGGCAGGCACAGCAGCAGCAGGCACAGCGGCAGTAGGTGCAGCAACTAAGGCAGCATGGGACAGGGGGCACCCCAGGGGGAGAGGCAGAGGCATAGCGTGGATCCACAGTACCAGTAACCCGCCCTGGCCGTGGATGCTGGCTGAGGCCGCTGATCCAACAGCTCAGATGGTGCAAGAGATTCGCATGCCTACAGGGGATGGTGGTGATGGTGGTGGTGGCGGCAGCACAGCTGCTGCTGCCCGTGCTGCTGCAGCTGTGCAGTTGAAAGCAGCGGCCGCAGCAGAGAGAGGGGCAACAGCAGCGGAGGCAAGAGCAGAGTTAGACGCACGAGCAGCAGCGCTAGCACGAGCAGTGGCAGAAGCAGCAGGGAAGGAAGCCTTTGACCCTGCAGGCAGGCCAGAAGGGGCCATGGTAGCCCAAGCCCCCTCCCCAACCACTGTTATGTCTTTCACCACCTCTACTACCCCTAGCAGTGACACTGGCACCGCTTCCACCTCAGCTGGGGCTGACTCCACGTCAGCCAGAGCTGATTCCACGTCAGCGGGAGGCGAGAGAGGGTTTTGGTCGCGAGGCGACAGTTCAGCAGCTGCTGCGGCGGCTGCTGTGGCGACAGGTGCTACGAGTGAAGGCTGGGGAGCTGGTGGGTCGTACGGTAGAGGGAGTATGAGGAGGGAAGGGCGTAGTGATGGTGTAGAGAGGGAAGCGAGGCGAAGGGAAGGTGATGGTGGTGAGTTGGGAGTTCGAAGGGGTGCTGAGGAGTTGACTGGGCGAGAAATGGGGGCGATGCGTGAGATGGGGATGGATGAGAGGGTTGATGATGCTGCCGATGCTTATGGGGGAGAGGAGGCAGAGGGAGGTGTTCATTTGAATAGCGATGGTGGCAGGGGCAGAGAGGATATGGCATCACTTGTGGCACCAGCAGCAGCAGCGGAAGATGTTCCAAGTGCTGCTGATTCCCCTCCAGCGGCTCAGGTGCCCTCTGTGGACCCCCAGGTGGTCACAACAGAGCGCCAGGTGCCACTAGCAGATGCTCAGGTGCCATTATCTGCAACAGGCCACTCCACTGCACCACCAAGTCCCGCCTCAGGAACAGCATCTCTCTCCCGCCCGCCCACTAGAGCTCAGGCTGAGGCGCAGGCTCGGGCTCATGCTGGGGCCGAAGCTCTGGCTGAGGCTCGGGCCGAAGCTGGAGCTCAAGTTAGGGCCCAGGCTGGGGCGGGCAGTGAGATTGAGGCAGCAGCATTTTTGCGCCCACCCTCCGCGCCAGCTCCTCCCCGCCCTCCCCTTCCCCGTGGTCCTGGAGAGGTGGACCGGACGGGCAGCGCAGGCCGGCAGACAGCAGGAGAGGCGCGGTTGGGCTTTGTGGGGGGGGCAGGGGAACAGGCGATGGGGGTTTGGGTGGTCCGGGGAAGGGCAGCATTCCGACCGAATCTTGATAGAGTGGCGGAGGAAGAGGGACGAGAGGTGGTGAGAGAAGAGAGGCAAGAAGGGAGGATTGGGAGGGGCGGAGATGGGGGGGATGGGGGAGCGATGCTTCTCCAGCGAAGGGGTTTGGAGCAGGGGGGAGGTGGGGGGGAAGGTGGGAGGGGTGTTGGAGGGACAGAGAGAGTGGGGGGTGGTGAGGGTGTGAGGGGAGAGAGGGGCTCTGGAGGAGGGATGCAGTGGTGGAGGAGGAGTGAGGGGAGGGGGGTGAGAGGGGGTGAGACGGGAGGAGAAGAAAGAGGAAATGCTGGTGGTGGAGGAGGGGAAGAAGGGGGAGGGGGAGGGGGAGGGGGAGGAGGGGGTGTTGGTGGTGGTGGGGGTGGGGTTGGTGGTGGTGATGGTGGAGGGGGGGGAATGGGGGTAGGAGGAGGAGGAAGGGCAAGTGACTTGCGAGGGGTAGGGGGAGGCACAGGAGGAGCAGGGAGCGGAGGAGGAGGAGCAGGAGGGGGAGGGGGAGGAGGCGGAGGAGCAGGAGGGGGCAAGCGCAAGGAGGGGCATGGTGGGGCGGAAGGTTCCTGGAAGCACGCGCTGAGGGACATTGCAATGCGGCCTGAGAGGCACAGCGATGTGGTGCTGTTTGCTGATGCCTCCGTGGTGGTCATCCGCGATAAGTACCCCAAGGTGAGATGACTTTTGAGTCGACTGAAAAGTCACTTTGTTTGCTGATGCGTCCGTGGTGGTCATGTGCAGCACCCTCACGCAAAGTGTTGATCGTCATTCAGCTTGGCTTGAAGTGTGTTCGGGGAGTAAAAGACCCGATTATTTTGGATTTGAAGTTTGGGTTTTAAGGGTTGACTCTGATAAAAGCTTCCTTTCTCTTATGCTTCCTCTTCATGCCCCTCACTCCACGCCAGGCCCAGCACCATCTGCTGGTTATCGCACGGACGGACGGTGTGGAACGCATCATCGACGCCACAGCGACAGATCTGCTGCTGCTGCGCCACATGCTGGCAGTCGGGCAGCTCTGGGCAGCACACTCCGTCTCACCCTCCTCCTCCTCCAACCCCACTCTTGGATCTGGCAATGCACCCAACCCCGCTCCCGCCTCTCACACTGCACCACAACAAGACATCGTGCCACAGAAACCACCTGAAAAATCTCCCGATGCTGCGGCCCCAGGAGTGTCAGGTGCTGCTTCAGGTGGTTGGCCAGGGGGGAATCCAGGCAGTGAAGGCGAGCATGCAAGGGGGAAGGCCCTGCCTGGGAAGGGAGGGCTGGGTGTGACTATAACGAGGGGCCCTGGGCCAGGTGTGACAACCGCAGGGTCATCGCCACCTCAGCCACTGCGCTTCCGATTTGGCTTCCACCAGGTGAGCCTGCATGCCCTGTCAGCCCACACGAGGCAATCCTTTATGCACAATCAGCCCAAACCTGGGCTCTCGTCATTCATTTGCATTCATAATGTTAATCCATGCATGTGTGCCATGTGTCTCAGGTGCCGTCCATGCACCAGCTGCATCTGCACGCCATAAGTCAGGACAACAATGTTCTTTGTTAAGTCTAATTCGTTTGTAATGTATATGTGTACCCACATGTGCTACGTGTCTCAGGTACCCTCCATGCACCAGCTGCATCTGCACGCCATAAGTCAGGACAACAATGTTCTTTGTTAAGTCTAATTCGTTTGTAATGTATATGTGTACCCACATGTGCTACGTGTCTCAGGTACCCTCCATGCACCAGCTGCATCTGCACGCCATAAGTCAGGACCTGGACTCGCCCCATCTGAAGCACAAGAAGCATTGGAACTCCTTCGCCTCACCCTTTTTCCGAGATGCCGTCCAGGTGAATTTTCTTAAGGTGGATTTCTCCAGATGAAGTTATCTTCTTGTATTCCCTTCTTGTAAATTCTACCAGGAGGATGCCCTTTGGGTGATTGTCTGCTGTGTAGCTTTCCTCTGAACCAACTGTGTATCCTTTCGTCATTTTGAGGCTTGTTACTTGGGTAGGTACCTTCCGATTGGTTGTTGAATACTTGCTCTTATTGTTCCCGGTCATTGCTTTCTCACTACATGCCATTAATTGTTGCCACATCGTCCTTGCCTCCTTCACTCACAAACACCTATCAGGTGATTTCTCAGATAGAGCAGCACGGCCATGTGCTGCCGGCTCTGCCGACCACCCACATCTCCTCGTCTGTAGCCGGACAGAACCTCTTCCCAGGCTCAGGTGAGACCTCACCTATGGCCCCCCCTGTTGCTCCAGAAGCAGGAGCGGGAAAAGGGAGTGGTGCAGCTGTAGCTGCGGCAGAGGCATTGGGTGGGCTGGCAATAGCAGGTGATGGAGAGGGTAGGAGTGGAGAGAGGCTGGCAGGAGAGGAATCTCGAAAAGCCGTAGCAGGTGCCGCTGTTGTAGTGCGGTCAAGATTGGGTGCTTCTGATGAGCTTGTAGGGGCCTTGGAGAAAGAGGCTCGGCATCTGCTTCGGCACGAGCTTCGGTGCCACCGGTGCCGCAGCGTACAGCCGAATCTCCCGAGGCTGAAGACGCACATCCGCACCTGTTCTGCACCCATGCCGGGTTCCCAAGTTGGCGTGGATAGCAGTGGTGGTGATGTGGTTGGTGGTAGCAGTGGAGGTGGAGGGGGGTCAGATACCAGAGACTAGATGCGCAAATCACTAGCAAACACAGGAATTGTTGACATAGAAAATTAGGACTAGTCATCAGGACATATATGGAAAACTAGAAGTTAGCATCAGAAGATCGTTTTTGCTCCTTAACTAATATGTTTGTATTGAGGTTCGCTGTGCAAGTTCCTTGTTGATTATGGAGAATGTTTTTCCAATTGTCAGGCCGTCCATCGCAGCCGTAGACCCACTTCGTTATTGCAGGTGGCAAGACGATAGCCGTGGATGTACTTTGTGGTTGCAATTCCATCGAGGTTTACTCTACCATAAGGCTTCAAGCATGCGGCATAATGTGGCTTGCTTGAAGCAGGAAATCCATTTCAGAAGTCCCCTGTCAGAAGACCGTTAACTCTTGGACCAAACAGCGAGTTCCGCGACCTAGCCGTTAGTAGACTCTAGCACTCTGAAGGTAAGAAGATGCACACGTTTCATTCTCAGGGTTCTGAGTGTGTGAATAAGGCTGCTGAGCAAAAAGTATTTTGATGTTTTTCAGGGTCAATGCTGAAGGGCGTGGTAAACCGAAGTTATAACACTAGAAACGCATCAGCTTCGTTAACGCCATTTCTGGATTCTCGATGTCGTGTTGAGATGGATGCGCGAAGTCCAGGCGAAGGGTCAGCCTTTCCCTTACAATCCCTTCCCGACGAGCTCTTGCTGCAATGCCTAGCTCGCGTTTCCTCCGATTCAGACCCAGGATGCCTGCGACTCCGGGGGGTTTGCGGAAAATGGAGGAAGTTGCTGACGTCAGATAGCTTTTTGGATCTCAGACGTCAGGTCGGGAGAGCGACAGAGTGGTTGGTGACTCTGACTTGGCGGATTGAGGGAGGATTGCTCTGCAAGCTGTTCGACTCGTTTTCCACCAAGTGCCAGGTTGGTAGCCCGCTCGCTTATTTTTATTTTACCCATTCTTTTGAGTAAGAGTGCATACACGACCTCGTTGCGAGCGTTTTCTCTTCAAGCCGTTCTTGTTTCACCACATTATTAATGTGAAGGTTTTCTTGACTTTCGTACTGGCCTGTTGTAACTCGTTCTTTGTACGTGGCAGAGACTACCATGTTCATTCAACGGTCTTCCCCCATCCCGCCAATATTTCGGAGTGACTTCAGTCGGTCATACGGTTTACGTTATCGGAGGACAGACCATAGACAACACAGGAATAATGACTGACTTAACCTTCTCTGCTGCAGTTGACTCCTATAACCCACTGACAAACACATCAAGGTCGCTTCCGCCACTCAAAACTCCGCGCAGCAGATTCGCGTGTTGCGCTTCTTCAGACGCGATTTTCGTTATTGGAGGTGTTACCAGCGCGTATGAGGTGCTTTCCTCAATTGAAGTGTTCGATTTGAGGCAAGAGTGCTGGCTAGAAGCATCAAGTCTGCCAGCACCCAGACAAGGAGCTCACGCACAGATTATTGGGAACCGGCTGTACGTTCTTGGGGGTTGTTCATCCCCGTTAGAAGACACAGACCCCAGCTACACCCTTTTCGTGTGCGAGCTTCCGATTCTCAGTAGCAGCAGCAACACCACCACCACAATCATACCATCCAGCAGCAGTAGCAGTCAATGCACCAGCACCGCCAATTCCAATCTCAACCCTAGACAGGCTCAACGCAGTATCAACTTGGAGTGGAGGGAAGCTGCCAGTCTACCTGTTCCACGAACTGGTTTCCAGACAGCTGTGCTTCACAACAGGCTATGTGTGATTGGTGGTGCAGCAGCTGAACCTGATGGATGGCAAGCAGCAGAGGGTCAAGTGGGAGAAGGAGGAGGTTGGGAATCAAGAGGGTGGGTGTGCTTCAATTTCCCGCTGGTATATGACCCTGGCACAGATGAGTGGAAGCTATGGAGACAGGGTCACAGCAGCGTTCAGCCACTTTCCTCTCATGACTCGTTCTCCTCTCCATCCAACTTCCTGTTGAACCCACCTTCTTCTCCACCTTCCCTTCGGCCAATCACAGGTGCTGAGCACAGGTTGGCGTGCCAGCACAGAGCATGTTATGGTTACCAGAGCAGGGGTTATGCATGTGTAGCCCTTAATGGGGATCTGTTCCTAGTCAGGAGGTGTGACCAGAGTAGGAACAGCTACTGCAGGCACATCCACAGATTTGACATCTCCCTGGCAAATTCAGGTTATGGGGCAGCATGGGAGTGTATACAGCGGACACGAGCATACTCTTCTCTACTTACGGAGGCAGGAGATTGCTGGGAGCATTCCGTTGCCATAGCTATAATTTGTTGATTTTGAGTGCTATGTGGATGCTGCGCTGACTCTTCAGTGCTACCTATCCAGACCTGTGAATGATTCTTGACAACTGCTTCCCAACCTTGCTCACACTTTACTTACTTGAATGGGGTGGAGAATGCAAAGTTGAATGGGGGCGCTGGAAGCCCACATTGCGGTTGCTTCGGCAGTTTCTGATTCTACACTCCAAGGCAAAGATTCGTTGTTCTCTTTCAAAAGTAGGCAGAATTGACACAAATGCATCCCAGTCCTTTTTCAGTGACTAGTTGATATCTGAATGCAGAATGCAGCCATACTGTGTGTTGCACCAGAGGCACTCTTAAAATCCCATCGTCCTGCTTGATGGTGGGGCTGGACTCCCCTGGTGGCAGCACATGAGCCATTGACTGCCGACCTTCTCAAACACGTTCGTTGCCACCACTCTGAGAGGGGAGGGAGGAAAAACAATGGGTGGGAGGTTACCGTACCGCACATAACTTGAGAGCTCCATACGATAGTCTTGAAACGGCATGGGTCTCATGTGTTGAAATAAATCAACATATGGTAAGTATTGGCTCTCAAGTCCCTCATGGTGTACCCACCTGCCAGCAGAGCCTGCTGACTTGATGACCTCGACACAAGTCACCACTGCCATGCTGCCCCGCACATGGCATGCCACGTCTTCCAGTGTAATGCTGAGCTGGCGGTTCATGCCGTCAAATATAAGCTCCCAGCTGTTGAGCACCTGTGGTGGAGGCAGCAGGGTAGTGAAGAGAAATGCTGAGGGGTAGTGAAAAAGGGTGACATGGAAAAGGAAGAGGGAACCATGTGTACCGCGTCGACCATAAGTCAAGAGGGACGCGGGAGCGGCACAGAAAGGACACCTACATTGACACCGCTGTGTGCGTGCACTGTTGCAGTAACTCGGCGCTCCGCATCTCACCATATCGTATCCAGAGATCGTGTTTGCTCCAGGGTGTATGCACTGCACATGCTCTCCTCTCGCCCACACGCGGCGCATGAGCCTGAGGTCAGCGGCACCGAATGCCCGGTAGAACAGGGCGTTGGCTGCAATCACTGCAACCTCGTTGTCTGACTGAAGGCGCCTGGCGTGGGGGTAGAGGAAACAGGAAGGAAAATGCGCAATGGGAATGGGATGCAAGTGAGAATGGATCGTGAAGGGCGTTTCAGGAACCTGAACATATGCAGCCGTATTTGAACCTGAGCCCGTGTTATTTTTACCTGATTTCATACACTTTCAAGCCCCGTCACCTGACTGACAACTGCAACCTTCACCTGAACTATTGTTGGTATTGTCTGAACGCAGCTGCAAATGAAACACCGTATTTTCACCTGAGCCTATCCCTGAGCCCAGCGGCAGCGACGTAATCCTCTGCCTGCACAGCTGCGTCAAGCTCCCTCTCCAGCCGACTCATGGTGAGAGCCACGGCCTCGGGCTGGGTCACAACGGGAAAATGAGAACGGGGAGTGGGCGGAGAGAAACGAGGGGCGAGAGAAGAAACGTGAGGGGAGAAGGGGAAATGGGGGAGAGAAGGTGGGGGGGCGGGGGGGGGGAGGAACGCGATGGGGGAAGGGGGGGATGGGTGGGGAGGGGGAAAGGAAAAGGGGGTAGTATACTGGAAGAGAAACTTTGAATCAGCCGATGGAAACACCAAGAAATCTGGGAGGAGAGGGAGGTGGGGGGACGGGAAGCCATGAGCCGAAAATGGTCGCTTGAAAATGGAAAATTCCGTCGCCACGTCAGAGCACGTCACTCACATCCGACTCATCGCTGTCGCCAGCGTCATCTCCGCCACTACCGCTGCCACCGCTGCTACTGGCGGCTCCCACCCATCCCCTCTCATGTTCATCGCCCCTTGACCTAAAGCGGAGCCCAGGTTGCAGCGCTTCGTCATGCTTCGCACGAGGTGCGAAGCTGGTAAAAGAAAGCTCATGTGGCCCACATGAGTGAATCAGGAGTAATTGCCGCCCAACCCTCGAGGACGCTTTACTGGTTGGCGATCCCCGTGAGGTTCGGTACCTCGCCACTCTCGCATGGCGATAACGCTGTGATCCGACAATTTGAAGGTCGCGCTGGAATGTCACAAGGCCATGGGGTCGACCTTGGGCGTTCGGAAGAGGAGGCTTGAAGAGTGGGGCTGAACAAGCGGTCGCCATAAGGATAAATACAAACATGAACATATGCGCATGTACTAAAACATAGTAATATCAATTTAAATTAGACAAACAGAATGTGGTCCCATGATCTAGCGGTTATGATGTCAGACTCTGAATCTGAATGCCCGAGTTCAATTCTCGGTGGGACCTTGCTCTTACTCCTCTCGTTAGTATCCTAGTTTTGCATTTGCAACAACCTACGGACGCTCAGGTCCAGTGCCAATGATGTACACCCTCATTCTCACCACTTTATTGACAATATAAAGGGTACAAAGGTACATGAGTCCGACTACCACATTCAGTAATCATTCCCCAAGTACGCAAAGTCCGCTGCCGACGGGGGGGTGACCTCTGAAGGGGTGGTGCTGGTACCTATTGTGAACCGAACCTGTGCTCGCCTGCAGACTGTGCGGGCCTGCTCACGCTGGTGGACAAGGGAAATGCGCTTGTAGAAGCTGGTCTCGAACAGTTGTGGAATGAGGTCGGATGAACCGCTTAAGTCACGAAGGCGCGAAGCACCACGACGACTGCACTCTCGAAGGAAATCCTGGAATGTCTTCCCAAAACACCCAAAAGTCTCGAGCGCCAATGGAAGTAACTTGACGGCAGGTCGGGCGCGCAGGGATGGTGCGTACAGAGTTGCTTTCTCAGTCTCGCGTGTGGTTGCGGCTGACCCAATGACGGTGGCAGCATTGGAGTGGGGAAAGCCGTGCTGCGGGTCGGCTACTGAAATGTCCAAAGCCAAGGTGGTGCCGGCTTGGAGGTCCCTGCAGGTGATGTCGGGCCGGCGGCCTGGAAGGAGGTGGTGGTCTTCCAACTGCGACACGAGGCCGAGCTCCAAGGTGATGCGGTGCAGTTCGTGCTTGATGGCGTCATGCACTTTTGTAGGCTCGTTGTTCTTGGGGCAGCGTAAGGCATGGGATGGGAGGGAGGGGTCTGAGAAGGGATGTCCACAGGCGCAAGATTCAGCAGAGCCGAGGTGAGGAATGGGGAGGCCGAGGCGGATAGCAGCAGCGATGCGCCATTCGGTTTCAGTGAGCTGCAACTGAGACGAAGAAGGGGCCGCTGTAAGCCAATCCCCCGCATGCGGACCCTGCAGGGAGGTTAAACGGGCCAGGCGAAGTGGGGAAGTGACAGACGAGCGGACTTTCTCGAGCAAAGAAGCCTCAAGCTGCTGCGAGAGGTGAGTGAAGAGTTTGGGGGGATAGCCGGGTAGAAGATGAGACCAGGAAGGGAAACGGTCACGAACTTCTTTGGGGAGCATATCAGTGGCAGCTGGGATGAACTCGTCGAGGCAATGAATGGTGTCGGAAGAGAGAAAGGGGCGGAAAAGCGGCGAGCCGCCAGTGATGAAGTGTGTGGACAATAGTGGAAGCGACTGGGCCCAGCTGCAGAGGTAACTAAGAGGTGCTGTAGAGGCGGAAGGCCAAAGCCCCCAAGGCGAATAGGAAGGAAGACTTGCTGCTGCGCCGTCTTAGTCTGCTCTGTGTCTGGGATCCAATAACCAGGGCCAAAGAGCTGGGTGAAGTGGTCCAGGATGGTAGAATCCCAAGAGTTGAAGAGGTCATGTATCTCTGGGAATGGCGAAACAGTCCGGAGGAGGAAGGAAGGACGGGCTGAGACGCACTGGGAGAGGATGCGGGGGGCAGTCTGAGGGTCATGAAGCTGGTGAAGAAGAGGAAGAGAGGCAGCAAATGAGGCGAGCTTCTCCTGTACTGTGGAGATGATGTAGCCGTCCGAGCCAATCGGGACCCCTGCAACGTTGAGGCCGTTGGGAGCAATAGGGACACCCGAAGGGGTTGTGCAGTCCTGAGGCCAGTCAAGAGGGCACCAGATGGAACATTTCGAGGGTTGGACAGTAAGGCCTAAGGAATGAAGGCGGTCAGTCAGAGCGGTGAAGGCAGCGGTGATGGTTGAGGGAGGGCCAACGAGGAAGGTGTCGTCAGCGTAAGAGGAGATAAAGATGGATGGAAACTGGTTCTGAGTGGGACGGATGGCAAGCTGCTGGGTGAGGGCGTAGAGAAAGGGACCACAGGGGTCCCCCTGGCGCACGCCCGAAGCGGAGTCGAATGTATGGAGGGTTGGGCCATTGCGGTAGTGAAGGGGAGACGGGGAGGAGTAGAAGAGGCTGAAGTAGGGAATGAGAGAAGAGAAGACTGAGGAGCGGAGAGCCTCGAACATGGCAGTTCTGTTAAAAGAGTTGAATGCATTAGCTACGTCAAGCTGAAGCACCGCCCAATCAGGATGGAGAGAAAGGGCTGATTGCACAGCGTGCACCATCACCTCTATGCCAGCAGGAACCGCGACCCCGAACTGCAGGCAAGGAAGGAAGGTGTCACGCATCTGCTGCTTGAACATGAGGGTGACGCAACGGGACAGAAGGCGCGGGAGAACTTCTCCAATAGCAATTGGCCGGACCCCACCCTGCGGCTTCTTAAGGGCGACGAGGGTAGATGCAGTGTAGTAGGAACGGACCGAGAGCGGGAGTTCGCCCTGCAGCCAGTTTTGGAAGAGGCGGAGGAGGGAGGGAAGGTGCTGCTGGGAAGTAAGGAAGGTGTCTCTGAGGTGCTCAATCAACCAACCCGAAGGGCCAGCAGCGGTACCCCGTGGGGCTGAACGAAGAGCCAAGTGGAGGAGTGGGGCTGAAAGCTGTGGGTAAGAGTCTGGGGTGAAGGTGGATATCCATTGAGGAAGAGGCTGTGGGGCTGGTGGATGCTTGGAAGAGAGAGAAGAGATGGTTTCCGGGGAAGGGGGTGCGAACTCGCCAGCTTCCAACGCTGCCAAGGAGCGAGACCAGTCGCCGCACTTAGCAAATCGCGCTGCACGATGGAGGCAAGCCTGCGTGGCTGTGGAGCGTGCTGAAGCAAGGTTGAGAGGGCGAGCAGCAGGAGTTGCAGCAGCAGAGGCTTCAAGGAATAGCGCATGCCAGTCCCCACTGATAAAGCGCTGAGCGAGAAGGGCGCAAGCTGCTGTAAGCGATTGCGAAGGGGCGGCTGCTGTTAAGCGAAGGACAAGGCGCGGGAAAGCAGGCAGGATAAGGAGGAGCTGTGTCAGAGGGATGCTGTGCAAGCCGCCGAAGGGGGATAAGCATGGCGTCAAGCACGAGAAGGCGAATGCGAGGTGGAATGCGGCGAATAATGGGTCCTGGAGAAATTGACGGGCTGAAAAAAGCTGGCCAATCCCACTCAACGACTGCATCCCAGGTGGCCGAAGGGATTGCAGGTGGAGAGGACTGTGCAGCTGAAGTTTGAGCGCGAGGAGGGGCGGAACGAGGAGGAGGACAAGCAGCTTGCTGTCATGCAGTAGAGTTTTGTTGGCAGGAAGTGGTATGACGAGTCAAGGCACCGGCGTTAGCGCAAGCACGGCGGCATATAGGGCAGGGAAAAGAGCGGGCAGGAGAAGGAGGATTGGTGGGAGGAGTCGTCATGGGGGAAGGAGAAGGGGGCGGGGGAGAGGTGGAGGAAGGAGGAGGGGGCTGTGGGGAAGGCGGAGGAACATCAGTGTAATGCAAGAGGGGGTGTTGATCGTCAGCAGTGGTAGCTGGGGTGGCGTGGTCTGTTGAGTGAACGCCCTGAGCAGAAGAAGAGGTAGAGCGAGGCGATGGAGGATGGTGCGGCAATGCCAAAGCCATGCTATCCCTAATCACTTGGTGAAGGGCCTCCTTCTGTTTCTGAGAGACAAGAGGGGGCCTAACGTTGAGAGGAGTGCTGTGCTGAGCAGAAGCTGGAGGCGGGGGTTGCAGTGAGGTTGGCTGTTGGTTGGAAGAAGAGGGTCGCGACAAGGATGGCGGAAGAGGAACATGGACTGTAGCGAAAGAAGGGGAGGGACGAGACCGTGTTGTGGACGAGGATGGAGCTGCTGCAACAAGGTCTGGAGGGCGATTTCTCTTGCGGGAAGTCATGGATGGCTAGGATGGGAAGGGAAGCTTAGTCTGTATGGTGGAAGAGTGTAGCAATAGACTATCTATGCAGAAAATGGGGCAGGTCTGAAACGTGGGAGCAGCTACGGAGGATGATGTGTGACAGCTAAGCCGCTGAACCGAGAAAATGTAATGACATGAAAATAAAATGTAGCAGTCAGTTAGTGTAGCCTGTAAGGTCCCGAGAATAGAAGTTGGGAATGCAGTTGGGACCGATGCAAGCGAGGATGCAGACGTGGCGAAGTGGCGGGAAATTTCGGAGGTGGGGAGGGGCGATGCAGTTTGCGAAGCAAGGGAGACAAGAAACAGCCAAATCGTGATGCAGGAGGTGAGATAACGAGCTCGCGTCGTGCTGCCACCCGCTACTCGAATCAACGCAGAAACCGCGCACTAGCAACAGTGGTTTGCTGACCGTGGCTGGTACAAACGAGACTTCTCAGCGACCTACCGACGTGAGGTAGCAGGTGCACGGTAGTTGCGCGGTCCTGATTTCACCCAGCACGTCTCGCAATTAGGTCCCGAAGCTCTAGCCGAGGTAAACAAGGCGCGATGCTCACTTGAGGCTGTAAACGACGATGCGAGACCCGTGGATTAGCTCTGAGACTAAGAACGTGATTGAGGGAGCCAAGGCGAGTTTCTCGTGCGGAAGTAATGAGAGGCGACCGGAGTACGCGGAGAGCGATGGCACCTGGTTTTAAGCTGGTCGTCGCGCTTCAGGAGGTGGTGGTTGAATGTGTGATGTAGAAAAGAAAGGTAAGTGAGACAGATTTCGATCCTATACGATAGGTAGTGAGTCTTGATGCTTTTTCTGAGCGAGCAGCGAGACGAACTACCGTTTCTTAGCTCGAGAGCAGATTTATACGTGCTGCTGCAAGCGTTGAGTGAACACGAGGCAAACTACCGTTTCTTAGCTCGAGAGCAGATTTATACGTGCTGCTGCAAGCGTTGAGTGAACACGAGGCAAACTACCGTTTCTTAGCTCGAGAGCAGATTTATACGTGCTGCTGCAAGTGTTGAGTGAACACGAGGCAAACTACCGCATCGCGGAAAAGGGTTTGGCTCAAAATCGAGTTTAAGTCTGAAAGCTGCAGGAAAGTTGCAGAAACCTACCTGAAAAGTATCCGAAAAGCACTGAGTGAAAACCGCAACATGCACCAATTTCGGATACAAGCTGGCTTCCGAGCCGCGAACATGAGCTACGTGGGTCAGCCGGGGCGCAAATTTTGTCTACGTGGGTTTACCGAGCCGCGGATTTCACACATCAAACTTAAAACATCTTCACCGAACAGTACACCTTCGTCCGACCAAATCTCGGGAGTCCCCTTTGCTGGTGTATGATCGATGAACACTACAGCACGAATCAGGCAGGCATTGTCGAACGTGGCGAGCACAGTAACTGGGATACAACCTCAGACGAGGCTCGCGAAGGCACAACCCAGAATCGGAACTGGCAGCTGGCATACAGTTCCATGTCACACCCAATCAATGTAAGTGTTCAGATTCTGTTCAAGTGACGTGGCTTCCCGGATCACACCTTAGGTAACCGGAATTGAGCTATCCCCACCTTCATGATTTTTTACTAACCAATTACTGGTGCGATGTATGCTAGTACCAGAAATCTACGGCATCCGTGAAGACACATCATCACACTTTGGAGCTCTAGAAGCATCTCTCTTTCGTATTCACACAACACGCTAGTTGCGTAGCTGATTGGTCACACAACTTTCTCAGCTTATTCTTCCAGTCCAGCCTGCATATCGTGCCTCTGAATATCCCCTCACGCATCAACTAGCGTATACCGTATGCTCTTCCTTCTGTGTGTGTAATAATCTAGTATAGGAAGTATGTATTCAAGCTACTATCTGTCCAGATCTACCGTCTCAGCCTGCATCTGTTCCCTTCTTTTCTACCTCCCGTCCCATATACAGCTCATCGACTTGCGCTCCCCACGCAGAGGACGTTCTGCGCGTGAATCGCCGCGGACTCAGCACCCGTCTACCTACGAACGGTGCGCCGTAAAGCGCGTTGCCCGGCAGCGGAAGCGCCGTGTTATGGGCTGAAAGCGTGATTTTTTTTACAAACGATTCTCCTCACTCCTATTGTGATCCTCACTTGTCATTTATTCGCACTTGTTAGGCTTCTTTAGTTCTCGTTTTCCTCTCGTTCTTCCCGCAATGAATGCAGATACATTTTCTCTTGTATTGAACTGCGCTGCACCGTGCCACTTTAATCAGTCACATTGATGTTCCCGCTTCATATCCACCCAATACACAGATCGTCGGCACGCTCTCTGCATGCGGGAAGGCCTTCGGTCTCGCTTTGCCTCCGCTTGCAAATCTCTTAAA